TCTCGTTCTCCCCGTGTGTGTGTGTGTGTGTGTCATAAACAGCAACCAAGTACCGTCATTCACGCCTATCGGGAAAGCCCTGTTGCCCGGAAATTATTGATGCACTGATACTGTCCTCCACTACCTCCTGTGCTATCCCCCAATTCATGAACTTCATTCATCACACGGACTCGGGGCGAAACTTTTACATTCGACTGATCGGAATCCAACCAATCCCGTTGCATACGTGTTCGATAATTGGAACTCGTGTGGCACAACTGTACAGATCAGACTGTGTTTTCCCATGTGCTGCTTTTTAGCCTCGCTATGGCTCATTTGTTCTCGTTCGATTTGTGTGATTGAGTTGTGGTTTGAATCGATCCTGAGCCTATACATTCCTCGAATCGCTCCTTGCCAACGATGCCATTACAAATCTATTCAGGAAAACCTATTCGACTCGAAACCGTTGTGGCTGTTAAGGTCAAAGTTGTGGCATGTGTGGGTGGATAGGTGGATGGATGCTTAGACAGCGTCCTCTTCATGTAACAAATAGACTTTCACCGCCAATAAAGTTAGGATAATTTTGTGGATCGTTTATTTTTTTTTCCTCCCGAGCACATATGATCCGAGTGAACACATTCACATTTGATACCTCGGAAGGCACCGTGACAAACGGGCTTCATTTCGTCATTTTTTAACTAACCAACCAAAACAGCACAGGAAGACAGAGGTCAATTACTACTCAGTGTTTAGGGCGATCGCATATCACAATTGAACAGGCCTTCCCTGTGCTCTCTCAGCTCTTGAATAATCGCGGTCATTTCTTGCGAACGCGATTGTGCAAAGTGGATCGCGATCATCACCGTAAGAAAAATAATGCATCAATGATTTGAGAAGGCGAACTCAATGTCCACCTCAGTCGTATTGTATGGCTCTCTCTCTCCCGGTCCCGTAATGATTAAACTCCAATCCCTCAAGTGTGTGGTTGGTAGACTACCGACAGAGACGGCAATCTATGATGAAGAACATTTAATAAATATAAACATCAGAACCACACACCAGGATGACGATGATGAATTGTATGATGATGATGATGATGATGATTCGGATGATGATGATGATGATGATGATTCGGATGATGATGATGATGATGATGACATATCAACTGACGTCGAAAACTATACAACTGAACTGGCGGAATGGTGCAGCACTGCAGAGCGATATCGCACTCAGATGTTTTCGATCTTATTCACGTATGAGTTTGTCGGTGATCAGCATCTGGGTTCCTATTTAAGTTAAACTGCCCCGGACAGCAATTATTCATCATCCACGTAACATCTGAACCTGATAACGGGATATCTCAAAACGTGTCTCACTAGCACATCCTGAGCTGATACTATAGTACACTGGCCAAGTATGAACTTTCTACTGTCCATATAAAAATCAGACTCTTGTTGTCGGTTGAATGTTTGTGGTACTGTAACACTTGGCAACCACACCAGCAATATTTTATCATGAGTGCGTCTATCTTACTGTACCTTTTGTATACTGAATAAATAGAGTAGGAATTTTAAAACAATATGATTATTATAATCGTTATTTTATTAGTACTGATGGTATGAAAATCACTACATGTAATCATTATTCCAATTTCGGAATAGGTTTCACCATTTCGATAAACTGCATACACACACACACAAACACACACCTGACAATGACTGTTGAAGGCTGGCATGTTATTGCGAGTAAATCCTTCGATGCGTGACTGAGAGGAATGAACATCAGACTGGTGAAATTAGGCCCACAATTCATGGAATGTTGAACGGCATTGTTTGACAGGGGAAAATGACAAAACCTCCAAAGCATATCCGCCTTGTGGCACTTTTGATCTTCCGTTGAATGCAATTCAAAGCTATCGCGAACGGTCTCGGTGGTAGGGGAATAGGGGGAGGCGAGAGGGGTCTTAGGGACTCTCGCTTTCATCATCCTTCTGTCTGGCTCGCTTAAGACAATTTGTCCTCAGTTTTCCCACGAACTCATCGCCACGGGAAATAGAGTTAAAGTTAGTCAGTCTGACACACACACACACGCGGTTGTTGCATACACCTCCG